ACCCATCAACGTGAATCGACTAGTAAGAGGAGCAGAATCCATTCGAATCGCCTTGTGAGCTCTCTTATTATTATTATTTTTTTTTTTTTGGTCAAGCACTCAAAATGCAACCCAAACAAGTTCTATACCTCATCAACACATATTAGAAAGCTCCGTCATCATATCAAGTACACTGTCAAATCTCAAATAATTCAATCGAATCGGTTTACAAAAAATACGTTCAAGGCTCAACGGGCTACTAGTGAAAATATAAGTTCAAGGGTCAATGAAAAGGGCTAAAACGAGCTATGTCAAAGAAATGCCTCAATCATATTCACAAACCACAACTTCAATCGATTATTTCAAAACAGACTCAAGCAAGTTCTGATCAACAAAATTCCGACCATATCTCACAGAAACAGAATAAGGCTCAAACCTCACAAGGCAAATAATATCCAATCAAAACGACCAATCAAGTTCATCAAAATATGCCATCATGATCAACATCACATCTACTCAACTTCATCAACAAAACTTAAAATTCACCAATATCCATACTCACAAGACACACAGAAAAAAACTAAAACTAGATTGATTCACCACATAAGCCTGTCAAATCTACGTAAACTCCCCCACACTTAAAACGAGGCAATGTCCTCATTGCTTCAACGCAAAACTGGAAGTCAAATAATAGGACTTAGCAATTTCATATAACGAACCAATACTAGCAGCTAACACAAGAATAAAAGACTCAAAAGAAAAGACAAGAGAAAGAACAACTCAAAAAGGATAAAAAGGAAAGGGTGTGCAAACCGAAAATGCCTCGAGGAGAATAAGCCTCCACATACGAGCTACTCGCCCACGCACTGCTCTGGACCTCGATGTTCGTTCTGCTCAAGCTCGCAAACTCGTACCTGCCAAGAAAAACACAGAAACTCCAAACTCCAATTATTAAAAGATAAAATAAAAAGCAAAAAGAAAATAACTAAGGAAGCAGTAAATCACTTGGGTTGCCTCCCAAGAAGCGCTTGTTTAACGTCATTAGCTTGACGAAACCTGTGAGGAACTCAGCCAGGGTCCAAGAAGAAGTGACGATAGTGCCACGCCTTTGTATTCTCGCGAAGTGGCAGTGCTGGCTCTAAGGCCAGAAGGCGGGCACTGTGGGCACGAGTGGCTATGTTCTTGATGTAGTGAGTCTGTTCACGAGCAATCCCCAATGTCTGGAACAGAGCCTTCCC